GCTCAGGTATTGTTAGGTGACTGAGAATCTTTGTGGAGTTGCCTGAGGAAAAGTTTCTGCTAGGGCAGGAAGTGATGCTGTAGGGAGATCCACTGCACTGGCTTGTCTGGAGAGGTGCATGCATAGGCTGGTTTTCCCCAGAGGCTCGTTCAGACGCTGGAGACCTCACAATGAACGGGGGGATCGTGCCTCCCAGGCCCGCGAGGCCCTGACAGTCAGCCTCGCATCGGTGCTAAGGCGGCCGAGATGAGCGTCCGTTGGCCCTTCGAAATTAATATCTCCACACACAGGGAAGTCTGGTATAAAATTAGGCAGAATGAATGGGAAAAAAATTATTGGAGACTGTCTCAGAACTTACAAAGGCCTTCTCCCCTAAACTAAAATGAAACTCTGTAAAAGCATTTAGATACATGGATCAACCGTTGATGTCATTTAGGTGTCAACCCAGTTCTCTGAGGTATTGGAAATGGCTGTCCTTATTTTTAAAGGGGGAAGGTCATGTGGGAACAGACTTGTCAAGGACAGATAAAACTGTAAAAAGGCCTCCAAAACCAAATTTGGATCCAATTACTGTCTGTCGGTGTGAGCCCATATACATATGTTGTAAATGTGAAATAATTTTCTACCTCTGGATAGTATTTTGTTAAAATCAACTTAAAGGCAAGAGCTTGTAAAAATGGAGGATGCTAAAATTCTCAGGCCCTGGCCGGGTAGCTCAGTTAGTTAGAACATTGTCCCAATATGCCAAGGCTGCAGGTTCGATCCTCAGTCAGGGCACATATAAGAATTAACCAGCCCTGGCTTGTGTGGCTCAGTGGTTTGAGTGCCAGCCTGCGAACCAAAGGGTCACCAGTTTGATTCCCAGTCGGGGCATGTGCCTGGGTTGTGGGCCAGGTCCCCAGTAGAGGGCGCGCAAGAGGTAACCTCACATTGATGTTTCCCTCTCTTCTTCCCTTCCCCTCTCTAAATAAATAAATACAATATTTTTAAAAAACAACCAATGAATGCATGAATAAGTGGAACAACAAATTGATGTTTCTCTCTTTCTCCCTTCCTCTATCGCTAAAATCAATAAAAATTTGAAAAAGGAAACTGCACATGATAATAAATAAATAAATAAAATTCTGAGAAATATAGAAACCAAGTCAAATACTTTTCAAGTTCAAGTGATCTAAGATTAACCCATAGTAAATAAAAGCTAAATGAAACCAACTAACTTAAGTTTGTTGGTTTAAGTAAAACAGGTATGTCTTTATTTTACCTGGGTTTACAAAAATAAGTCAATATTAATAATTGGCTGTTATGTTTGTAAAAAATGTTTCTAGGGGTTATAAGATGTTGAAGCTAAAGAATGCTAATTGATTATTTCTTAGTTTCCACTAGACATTGAGGTTTTAAGGGTTAAATCTCAATATACATAAAAGAAAATGTCGAGGGTCCACTGGGTGGGTAAACAAGGGCTGTAAATGAAACTAACAGTGGGGGCATCCAGTCAAGACGGCAGCGCAGACAGACACGGCCCACCTCCTCCCACGACCACGTCGAAGCTCCAACTAAAATATAGAGCAACCACCACTCAGAACCGTCAGAAATCGAGTTGAACAGAAGTCTGATAACTACAGAATTAAACCACATCCATCCAGACTGGTAGGGGGACGGAGACGCAAAATGGGCTGGTCTCCCACCCACGTGCGGTGGATAAAAATTCAGGAGGGATGTCTCAGAAGCAGGGAGTCCAGCCCCACACCAGGCCCCCCCAGCCCAGGGTTCCAGTGCCAGGAAGATAAGTCCCCGTAACTTCTGGCTGCAAAAACCAGTGGGGATTGAGTCGGTAGAAGAAATTGCTGGAGCCCCAAGCAGTTCCTCTTAAAGAGGCCACACACAGAATCACTCAGACTCACTCCCCTGAGCTCTAGCGCTGGGGTAGCGGCTTGAAAGTCACAAGTGGTGCACAGGGAGAAACTGAAGTGTCTGGCACCAGGGCAAGCAGATGCCATTGTTCCTTTTACAAACCCTTCCCCCACAGAGCCAGTAGGCTGGTGCCATATCTGAGACTCCATCAACCTGGCTAACACTGTTTGAGCAGCCGTGGAGGCCCCCAGAGACTCCGCCCCACCCAACTTCTGGGCCCACCCAAGCTGCTTTTCCATATAAATGGCTGGTTTGGCTAATGCTGCACAACTTTCTGAATCCTCTCAAATCAGCAACAGTTGGCCTCAGTGAGCCCCAGGTCCAGCTTAGATTCACAGCTTGGCTTCACCCAGGAATCTCCCAGCCCAGCACAAGTAGCAGCCATCTCAGATGGCTTTATAGCTAAGACAGGGTGCCCCAGGCAAAACACAGGTAGGGGCTGACCTTAGCCTGTACCGCCTTGGAAACCCCAGGGCCAGCACACCCAGTGGGCAGCTGCAGATCATGTTGGAGCATCAAGACCCTGCCCCTGCACAGCTGACCCTCCACTGAAGGAGGAGGTTGGTGGTCAGTGGTCACAGCCAATCCTTGCAGCTGACTGGCCTGGGTGAATCCCTCCCATTGATCTGCCAATGGCAACCAAGGCTCCACGACAAGAAGAGGGTATAGTCAGCTGCACCTCAAGCTGACCACTTCAAGAGCACCTCAAGTCCCCAGCTTGGGTGATGGGGAGGCTGTGCCACTGGACCCTACAGGACACCTATGACATTAGGCCACGCTACCAAGACACGGAGTCAAAGCAGCTCTACCTTATACATAGAAACAAACACAGGGAGGCTGCCAAACTGAGGAGACAAAGAAACATGGCCCAAATGAAAGAACAGATCAAAACTCCAGAAAAAGAGCTAAACGAAATGGAGATAAGCAATCTGTCAGATGCAGAGTTCAAAACACTGGTTATAAGGATGCTCAGGGAACTTAGTGAGGACCTCAGCAGCATAAAAAAGATCCAGTCAGGAATGAGGGATACACTAATTGAAGAAAAGAACAATTTACAGGGAAACAACAGTAGAGTGGATAAAGCTGAGAATCAAATCAATGATTTGGAATATAAGGAAGCAAAAAACAATCAAGCAGAACAGTAAGAAAAAAGAATCCAAAAAAATGAGGACAGTATAAACAGTCTCTGGGACAACCTCAAGAGGTCCCACACTCACATCATAGGGGTGCCAGAAGGAGAAGAGAAAGATCAAGAAATTGGAAATCTATTTGAAATAATAATGAATGAAAACTTCCCTAATTTGGCAAAGGAAATAGACATGCAAGTCCAGGAAGTAGAGAGAGTCCCAAACAAGATGGATGCAAAGAGGCCTACTCCAAGACACATTATAATTAAAATGGCAAAAATTAAAGATAAAGAGAGGATCTTAAATGCAGCTAGAGAAAAACAGAGTTACCTACAGGGGAGTTCCCATAAGACTGTCAGCTGATTTCTCAAAAGAAACTTTGCAGGCCAGAAGGGATTGGCAAGAAGTATTGAAAGTCATGAAAAGCAAGGACCTACAACCAAGATTATCCAGCAAAGCTATCACTTAGAATCGAGGGATAGATAAAGAGCTTACCAGACAAGAAAAAATAAAAATAAAGGAGTTCATCATCACCAAAACATTATTATATGAAATGTTAAAGGGACTTATTTAAGAAAAAGATCAAAACTATGAACAATAAAATGGCAAAAATACAAATCTAAATCTAAGTCTAACTGAATCTAAAAAATGAACTAAGCAAACGAGAAGAAGAGACAGAGTCATGGATACAGAGAGGATTTTGATGGTTGCCAGATGGCAGGGGGAGGGGGAGAATGGGTAAAGAGGTGAGGGGATTAAGAGGCATAAGTGGGCAGTTACAGAATAGCCATGGGAATGTAAAGTACCGTATTGGAAATGGAGTCGCCATACAACTTATATGCATGACCTATGGACATGAACAATAGTGGGGGGATTGCCTGAGGGAGTTGGGGGTGCTGGGTGGAGGGGGAGCAAGGTGGGAAAAATCAGGACAACTATAATAACATAATCAATAAAATGTAATTAAAAAGAAAGAAAGAAACTAATAGCGGGGCTATGGGAAACCCAAGATGACCACTTGGTTCCACCTCGCTCCCTGCCTCCCGACTTTTCGGTTTTTACATTCTTTCATGCATCACAGTGAATTTAATCTAGACTTAGATGAGGGAATTTATGAGGGGACATTATTGAAAGGTGACATCATACACTATTGCCAAGGTCTGATAGAGTCACTTCAAGAAAATGCCAACTTGGTAACCACTTCCTTTCACAGGGAGCTCCCAGGAAATAAAGACTTGACATTATAGACTGCCACCTTTGTTTATTGGAAAGGACGTCAAAGAAAAGACACTCTCCAACCTCATTGGAAGGGACCTTATCAGGCACCTAACCATGAAGGGACATCTATTCCTGGTCATCATGAAGGGACATCTATTCCTGGTCATCAAAGTCTCCTCTAGACTGGGAAGCTGCTGACATCAAAGGTAGACAGCTCTCCCCAGACATCAAAAAGGCCTGGATACCTAGAGATTGATGGTGAACTCCGGATCCCTTTTGTTGGTCTTCACCTGTCTGCTAATGATATTAGTCATAATAATAGTTATACTTGTTCTTTGTGTTTTTTTGTATAGTCCAACTATTATGATTACTGAACATGTATAAGAAAACTGTTAATACTCTTTTTTGGTTTACGCAAATGGTACACGAGATACAAAATACAGAAGAATGAGACAAATAAGACAGTAGACAAAACTCAGATCACGGTAATTCACAGGACAGAACTGATCCAGGGTGGTTTACTTCACAGGGAAGGCCTTAAGCCCTGGCTGTCTTCCATTTACTTGCCTTCCCCATTTTGGAAACAAAAATTTAATTGAATTTATTGGGAAGATATTGGTTAATAAAATTATATTGGTTTCAGTTGTACAATTTCATAATACAATTTTTTTTTTGGAAAAAATTTGACCTTAACTTAGATCCCATGATAAAAGCGTTGCCCCATCCCCAGTGGCCAACGAGATGATGTCGGCACTGAGACTCCCTGGGAGCGAGCCCTCCCAGCGCTGCGAGACCACACTGCCCGACCAGAAGGTTGGTCGTCAATGATTCCTTCGGACTGACATGACTAGAAGGAAGAACTGTGGATGAAAAAAGGGGGTTCTACGAAAAGTAACCTCATAGGGTGATCTATCATAAATTCCTAACCGGGGGGTCATGATGGGTAGTCGTGCCCTAGGGATATAACTTTTTAGTAAAAGGCTTATCTTCGCTTTTTGCTTTAAGCTAGTCCTGTCTACTGTTTCTGTACATCTATGTTAACACATTGAAAAAAAAATTTTTTTTATTTATTTATTTTTAGAGAGGGGGGAAGAGAGGGAGAGAAACATCAATGTGTGAGAGAAACATCCATCAGTTGCCTCTGGCACATCCCCAACTGAGGACCTGGCCCACAACCCGGGCATGTGCCCTGACTGGGAATCCAAGCAACAACCTTTTGGTTCGCAGGCTGACACCGTCCACTGAGCCACACCAGCCAGGGACAGGTTAACGCACCTTTGAAATGCCTCGTTTCAGACCTCTCCTTCTAAAGGTGACCACCCTCAAGAAAGCACAAAATGTTGTTAACTGCCCCTGTAACCCAATCACCACCTCGCTTTCTCCCACCCCTATGGAATCTTCCTTACTTTCCTTCCTTAATGTCAAATGCATAAAAGGCTGAAAAACTGTCATTCTCTGGAGCATGTGAGAGCCTGCTCCTTGGCATATGTCATCAGTTTGGCTCAAATAAATGCTCATTAAAATTCAAAAAAGAAAGAAAGAATGGAAAGATGGGAAGGAGGGAAGAAAGGGAGAAAGAAAAAGAGGAAGGCAAGCCACAGATGGGGGAAAATATTTGCAAACCATGTCTGACAAATACGTAGCATTAAAGAACTCCTTATACTCAGTAAGACAAACAATCCAGTAAAAGAATATAGGCAAAACTAGAACATCACCTGTGAGGGTAACAAATAGCACATGAAGACATCCAACATTTTTAGCTGTGAGAAATGAAATTAAAATCAGTTTAGACACACCCACTAGAATGACTAAAATTATAAAGGTTTACCATACAAATGTTGTCAAGCAAATGGAGGAACAGAAACTCTTCCAATGGTGGTGAGGATGTGGTCCAACCATTCTGGAAAAAGTGTGGCACCTTCACAAAGAGGTACACATACGCCTACCACATGACCCAGGCCTCCTACTCCTGAGTACTCTTTTAAGAGAATAGTGCATGTGGACACATAAAGATTTGTACACAGGTGATCATAGCATCTGTACTTGTAGTAACTTCCAAACTGGAAACAACCCCAATTTCCATCAACGTTGGATGGAAAAACAAATTGTGGTATTTCCATACAATGGACTACTACTCATCAATAAAAGGAATGAACTGTTGATAAATACATGAATGAATCTCAAAATAATTATGCTGTAAGAAACTAGTGCAAAAAAAATTACATACTAAATTGGCCTTTCCTGCTGTGGCTCAGTGGATTGAGCTCTGGCCTGTGAACCAAAGGGTCACCGGTTCAATTCCCAGTGAGGGTTCAATTCCCAGTTAGGGCACATGCCTGGGTTGCCCCCAGTGGCAGCGGTGTAAGAGGTAACCGATCAATGTACCTCTCACACATTTCTCACCCTCTCTCTCACTCCTTTCCCCTCTAAAAGTAAATAAATAAAACCAATAAACAAATTAAATCTTTTTTAAAAATTGCATACTAAGTTGTATATACATAGTTCTAGAAAATGCAAATGATTCTGTAGTGATGGAAGAGGAAACTTCTGAAGCTAATGGATACTTTCGTTATCTTGATTTGAGTGATAATTTCATACATTATCAGAACATATCAAGGTGTACATTATACGTACATGTAGTTTATTGTTCTAGAAAAAAGTTTCCCAGGAGGTGGCACAACCACCTGGCTCTGCCCACCGTGCGAGCACACCTGGAGCTGGGTCTGACCCGGGCCGAGGAGGCCGAACTCTGTGGTGCAGTTTTTGCGGCTCCCTGTGGGACTGGGCTGAAGCTTGTCTCCACTTGAGGCCGCATTCTTGCTTCCCTTCAGCCCTTTTCCCTGCCCTGCCCTGCTTCCCTCACTCCCTGCCTCCAAGAGCACTTCTCCAACAAACCACACAAGAATTCTCATCTTGGGCTCTGCCTCTATGGGTCCGACCCATGACACCTGACATTAGCTTCATTTAACTTAGTCTCCTCGAACCAATTCCTGTCTCATGCTGTGCTTATGACCTCCTCCCCCTAAGAATGATCGCTTCATGAGGGACACATCCCTACAACAGTGTCCTGAACATCGCAGAGCCCAGGGTGTGTTCTGGTTGGCAGTCAGCATCCCTTTTGTTCTGGGCTGATCTGGCCCAGAGGCATTGTGAGTCATAGCAGGTGGGCACCAGCTAAGTGGTTCACAGATTCGGCCAGGCCTGGGACAGCAGCTCAGCACCTCCAACACATCCCCCAGGTGAGGAGCAACATGCAGCAAGGATTCTCGGGGAAGGGTCCCCTGGGAAGATGCAACCTTCAGGGTGAGCCTGGTTGCACCTCTGGGGTCCTTTGAAGGCTTCCAAAGATGTGTCCCTGAGCCACATCTAGGGGATAGCACCATCTGGCCTCTACCTAGCTCGGTGTGAGGAGTGTGTGTGAGTTGAAGTAATGAAGGCACGATAGAGGGCCCCCTGCTCCAGAGTTCTTTCCCTTTTCACACTTCATGGGGAGAAGAGGACTTTAAAACAGAGCACACAGTCCTCTTTTCACACACAACAGAATCAGCACTTACAGGGGGGGTGGGTCGGGAGTTGAGATTTTAGCTCCCTGAGGACGGAGTTTGTTTGGAACAAAAGTCATGTGTAGTCTGCACAACTCCTGTTACTTCAAGTCCTAAGCATAGGTCCTAGCCCCTGGCATATACCCACCCCCAGGATGTCGCTAAGCACACTGGACTGTGAACTACCTATAAACGCGCCTGGATTCCCAGCTGGACCAGCAGCATCTTGAAGGCAGGCACAGGCTGGGACCCCCTGCCCAGACCAGGGCCTGGCACGGAGCAGGTGCCAGTTTGAGGCTGCAGAGTAAGTGAATGATGAGGGCAATCGTGCTGTTCGTTACACTGGACGGCCTACCAGATACCCTGCAGATCCAGGTCCAGCCCCGGCTTTGTAACCCGTCGGCAGTGCCCTCATCCCCTGCCCAGCTCCCTCTTCCGCTATTCCCAGCGGAGCACTGGGCGCCAACCCCCGCCCCCCACCCCCCAAGTTCCTTCTCGCCTCTAGGACACGCAGCCCTGCCTGGCTTTTCACTCCGCCTAGAGGCTCTCCCTTATCCATCCCAATTCACCGGGCAAAGTCCTTCGCGTCTTTGAATTACCTGTCTCCGCCATCATTCCCTCCTCCCCGACCCATAAGCCCTCCCAGCAGCCGCCCAGTGCTTCGGGAGCTGGGGTGTGGTTCTCCACTGGCATTTTTGTCCCCGGGGTCTGACCCAGAGCGGTCTTTGGGGAAGGTGGCTTCGAGGAACTGCTGCTAGTACGACTGTGCAGGGATGGGCTTCTCAGTGGCCAAAGCCCTGTCCACCACCAGGACTCGCGGTCTGAGCGGGCAGCCAGCACCCAGCAGGCTGCTCACCCGGATCCTTGCTCCCTAGCAGTGCCCCTGGCTGGCTTCCATCATCCAAAACACCAGGGGTCCCAAGGCAAGGGTGCAGCCCCGGTCACCAGCATCCTCGCGGCTCCACTCTGGGCACCCACGCGCCTGCCGGGGCCCACCTGGCCCTCGACCTGGAGACCTTTGGGTGGCCGGCCGCGCACCACGCCAGCCGCCTGTGGGAGCAGCTGCGGCAGTTCTGGGCCGACCACTTCTCGCGGCGCTTCTCGCCGCGGCGCCCGCCACTGCGCCGCATCTCCTCCATGTCCACCTTCTACCTTCTGGAATACAGCACGCGCCAGGCCGAGCTGGGCCTCGGCTACGGCGCACCGCGCACGCGCCTCAGCGAGCGGGCGTTCGTGTTCCGCGGCGGCCGCTGGACCGCTGAGGGCCCGCCAGGGCGCTCCAGGCCGCCGCCGCGCCCGCCGGCTGTCTCAGGCTGGAAGGCGCAGGTGCAGCGAGTCCACAGCCAGGAGCTGCTGGAGGAGAACAACTACCTGAGGCTGCAGCAGCAGGTGCTCATGGACATGCTGACCGAGGCCACAGCGCGCATGCAGCTGCTGGAGGAGGCGCTGGACGGCGAGGCCAGCTCGGCAGGGCCGGCGCGCGCCTGGCAGCAGCGAAGGCGTGGGCGGCGCGCTCGTGCTTCAGTCCCAGTGACGCAATAAAATCCGTGTGGCGCACGCGCGCCTCCCTCCTGCCTGTGGTTCTGGTGCTTTTGCGGGACTACGCGCAAGGCGCGGCAGTGCTGCGCGCCAGGGAGGCCGGTCTCGTGCTTCCCGTGTGGGCAGGTGACTCAGACGGCAGCCAGTCTCGGCAGGAGGCGATAGGGCAGTGGAGGAGGGTTTTGCGGGGCCCGCTGGGAGCGCGCAGTGGGTGTCAGGCTTGCGGCGTGGGAATTAGGGGGAGTAGGGTGCAAGGCAATGGCATTCTTGGCCCAGGGGATGCGGGGCGAAGTCCAGGAACCTGGGGCTCTCACGGGTGGAGAGTGCGGTGAGGGGCGGCGCCGGCCGGCCGGGGGCGGGGGCCACACACTTGGCCTTCAGCCTCCCGGCGAGCGGGAGGGATTTCAGCTTGAGTCCAGGGTGAGTGTATTTTAGACCAGAATCTGTTCCCGGAAAGAAGCTGCCGGGAAACTTCGGGCTCTGCCGCCCCCGCCTGGCTGTTTGGTTTCTGGCGAGTCGCTTCTCCTCCGCGGCAGGCCTCCTTTTCTACTCCGTGGGATTCGAGCGCTCTCCGGGGACAATCTTGGACACAGGATTTGCCGGGTCCGCCTTGCTTTATTTATTTATTATTTGTTGATTTGAAAGAAAGAGGAAAACATTGATTTGTTGTTCCCTCATTTATGCATTCACTGGTTGCTTCTTATATGTGCCCTTAAGGGGGATCAAACCTGCAACCTTGGTGTATCAAGAGGATGCTCTAAGCAACTGAGCTACCCAGCTAGGGCCCAGCCCACCTTATTTTAAAATTCTGCATTAGTTGCCAACATTTAAGACTTTGGAGTACTTAACAGTTAAAATCCAGGTTTCCTGTGTTGTGTAGAAAATCCAGAAGACTTGGCCTCCCTGGACCTTCACTGAACCCAGGAGCAGGTGGTTGAACTGATTCGTGGCTGTCGCCTGGCCAGCTTCACTGCTCTCTCCTCCTGTCCCCCTGATTGGGATCACGTTCTAGAGCCATTCTAGATCGCTGCTCTCTCCCCGGGCATGGGGCTGTCCCCTCCCCCAACACACACACCCGAGGTCGAGGTCGAGGTGCCATGTGGAGTGTTTGGTACTGGTGAGTGAGGTGGTCGCACTAGCAAAGGTGATAGCACTGGTCCCTGCCATCTGCAACCTTTCCCCTGGAATACAGACAGGCCGTTTTGGGTTCCACCTGAAACTTGGGTTGGTAGGACTCAGACCATTTCCCTAGGGCCGTGTGAAACCTGTGAGAGCAGTGGGTGTCCTGCTTTCAGTGGGAGACTAGGGATTACTAAACCCTGCATTGTCAGCTGAGGGTCGAAGGTCACCGGTGCCCATTCAACACCAAAGGGAGCCCCCAGTTTGGGGTGCAGTGAAGGGAGAGACTTTATTCAGTGCAAACAGCTCCATCAATAATCAGCGCGGCTGTGGAGCAGCATGGCTGCGGGGCGGCGAGGAGGCCCCTGTGCGGCAGCCTGTTGGCCCATTCACGGCCCAGGCCCCTCTTCGCAAGCGTGGGCCCAGCTGGCAGGAACGCAGGGTAACCGGCGGCTGACTGTTCAGTGCGGCTTTTTCATGAAGTGCAGAGAGCTCGAGAGGCCCCTGTTTAGCAATGACAACTAGACAGTTTATAAATTTCAGCCCAGTTAACCACCAGGAATCCGTCTTAAAAAGCACATCATTCTTGGGATCCACAGTATAAAAACGGACTTATTTAGTAAATTAGTAAGACAACGTAAAATGTCATTACACACTACCTTAAAAACACTTCTTTTGAACAGTGCTCTTTTGTATTTTAATAATTCTGTGATTCTGTATTTATATTGATATAGATTGAATAAAATACTTAAAAGTCTTATCATTGTGAAATAAGACTTCCTTTTAAAATAACTAAGAAAATAGCCTTGGCTGGTGTGGCTCAGTGGACTGAGTGCTGGCCTGTCAACCAGAGAGCCATTGGTTCGATTCCCAGTCAGGGCACAGGCCTGGGGTGCGGGCCAGCCCCTCCGTGCGGGGCGCGCAAGAGGCAACCACACATTGATGTTTCTCTCCCTCTCTTTCTCCCTTCCTTTCACTCTGTCTAGAAATAAATAAATAAAATCATTAAAAAATAAATTAAAAATAAAATAACTAAGAAAGTTTAAAAATCATGGAAAAGAAAATGGGAAGGAAATAAAAATGATACTCTAGGGAAAAAAATGAAACACAAAAGAAGGCACAAATGGAGAAACTATATTAAGTGAAAGAAACCAGACACAAAAGAGAACATATTGTATGATTCTGTTTGCATAAAACAGGCAAATCCAAAGAGCAGATTGGTGGTTACCAAGAGCTGGGGGAAGTGGGGAGAGGTGTTGCACAGGGTTTCCTTCTGGGTTGAGAAAAAAATTTTGGAACTGTAGATGTGTAATGGCTGCACAACATTGTGGATGTTCTAAAAGCCACTGAATAGTACACTTTATTATAGTGAGTTTTAGGCCCTGGCTGGGTAGCTCAGTTGGCTAGAGCATTGTCTTGATACACTGAGGTTGCTGGTTGGCTCCTCAGTCAGAGCACATGCAGAAATGAACAAATAAAAGCATATATAAGTGGAACAACAAGTCAATGTTTTTCTGTCCCCCTTTCTGTCTAAAATCAATAAATAAAAAAAAAACACCAATAATTTTATGTGAGTTTAACCACAAAACACTTTTTAAAGGATGAAAGTGCTTTACATATAAACATGAAGTAAAAACTCTATGTGATATGGGGAAATAGCAAAAATCAGAAAGGTGATCCAAGAACGACCAGCGTTTGGGCGCTGCTGTCGGTGCCAACGCCTGCCAGACCAGCAGGAGGCAGTCAGGGAGCCCCATGTTTAGGTAAGGCCTCCAAGTCCATAAAGGGCCTCAATAAAATGGGGCAGAAGGATATTCTGACATGTCTTTGTCCTGTCTGCTCCTGAATGCCACCCCCTGACTGAGCTGGCCGAGGAAGGACGTGACAGAGCGAAAGGAGGGACAACACTGTGGCCCTCCCTGCCTACAACTCACAGCCCTCTGGGGAAAGAACGTCGCAAAAATATTTTGGGGCTGGAGGAGGGAAGTCAAAGAGGCTGTAGATTTGTCTACAGTGTGAGGAAAGATGAAGGGAAATGGGAGTAGAGATCCAGCTAGGTCTCCCGTCTTGGAAAAACCTTTCTCGGCTCTGCATTGGCTTCCAGCTACTGCCCCATTTCTCTGCTTCCCTTTGTAACTCCAAAAGTTGCTTTTATTTACTGTCTTCAGTTCTTCCCCTCCCTCTTTGCCTTTAACCCTCTTCCGCTTCGGCCTTTCACCCCCTACTCCCTCCAGCCTGCTGCATGCCATTGACCTCCAGGGCGGTCCAGTCCCTTGGCCAATTGTCCATCCTCGTTGGGCCCACCCAGCCATCAGCAGCTTTTGGTGCAGCCGACCCCTCCTCCTCCTGGAAACTCTGTCTCCACCTGGCTCCTCAGCACCACACTCTTCCGCGTTCCCTCCTACCTCAGCATCACTCCTTCACAGTGTCTTGCTGATTTTTCTCACTTTCACGTCTTTCAGACGTCTGCTTAAATGATACCTTTTCAGTGAAGTTTTCCTGGATTGACTTTATTTAAAAGAGCGGGTCTTCTGCCCACCCCCAACCAAGCAGCACAAATTACCCTCCTTTCCTGCTTTGTTTTCTAGCACCTGTCAGTATTTGATGTGCTATAGATTTTATTTCTTGTCACCCTCCCCCCACACACACACGAGCATGTAAGCTCTGTAGGGCTTTTTGTTCTCTATCTCAGTTTAGAAAAGTACTTAACACTTATTAAGCCTTCTCCAAGTATTTCTAGAATGAACAAAGGTCCACAGAGAAAGGCACCTGAGTCCCAGGGAGCAGAAAGTGTTTGGCCTTTAGCCTCGTCACAGATTTCTGATCCCCTGGGCGTGGGGAAGGTGTACCAGATGCTTTGGAACTTCCGGGTTCATTGGACCGGCCCACCTCTGATTTTAGCTGCAGCGCTGGTGGTTGGCTGCATATGCACTCAGTGCCGCGTTTGGAGCTGGAGCGTCTGCTTTCCTGCTCTCAGGCTTTCCCCGCAGCCAGCTCCCTCCACCCACAGCCACAGCCTGCGAGCGCCCTTGGGGACAGCCTTCAACCAGGAAGGGACACAAGTCAAAACACACTTCGTTGAATTTTCCCTCTACCCGTTGTTATTCTCCTCATTCTCTTTCATTTCCTGGAATCGTCCACCAAATAAAGTGCACTCAAGTCCTAGGTTCAGGCCCTGCGTTTATGAGGATTTGAACTAAGACAGCAGGAAGTCGTGTTTCTGAACCCCAGCCTATGCAGACCTGAAATAGCTGTGAGGGGTCCCATTGCCTGCCACCAAAAAGGGTGACTCCCAGCGCCAGAGTTTGGCGAAAAGGAAAAAAGTTATTTAAAGTTATACAGGTTTAGAATGCACCATTAAGCCCCACTCCCTTTAAAACACCCGCAAGCACATGGTCCTGACCGCTTTGTCGAACCCGGCCGGGAGCCCAGGGATCAGCATTCAGGCACCTCCCATGAAGCTGTGCTTGGCTGGACAGGCCCCGCCGTTCCCAGCACCGTCAGCCACCTCTCCGCCTTCTCCAGCTCTTAATGCAAAACCGTGTGGCACCTCCTTTCCCAACAGACCTCATGGTGGGCGGGCCGGGGGCCCTCCTTGGCAGACCCCCTACTCCCTCCCAGACTGCACGGCAGAGAGAGCGCAAGCACCTCGCAGCTACTGGGCTTGGTTCAAGTCCTGGCCCAAGCCCTGGCCCAGAGCTTCCGGTGCAACCCCATGTTCAACTCTTCCCACAGTGGGGTTACATCTCCCTGTTCTTTGTACAGTTCATATTTTTTTGGTAGCCATTATCAGCCTGAGCAGGCATGGCCCAGGGACGCAGGGCAAACTGCCATCCAGCCTCTCGGGCAGGGGAGCAGGCTCTGGAAGTGGCACCCACCCCACC